CAGCTCAGCGCCGAGCCGGGCGATGCCACCTCTTTCCCTGGATGATCCCTGAGTGTCCCAAAAATTTCACTGCCCCACTCACTGGATCTTGGTGCAACTCCTCCCTGTTCCCAGCGGGGTTTGGGAATGTGCTGATGCTGCTGAGCCTTCCCTCACCCCCCCATGACTTCATCCCAGCTCCTCTGTTTTCCTCCTAGCCGTGCCAAGGGAAAATTGTGGGGCTCGCTGCCCACAAAAATCAGAGAAATGCATTTTTTGGAGATTATTCCAAATGAAGTGAGGGGAGCAGGGAAAACCCCTGGATGGTGGGGCACAGAAAGCACTGGGCAGCAGTGGTTGTAAGGAATATTTGTGGCTGGTCATGGAGGAGTCAGGGATAATGGGCTCCTGGCTGTCCTCCTTATCTAGGAGCATCCAGAGGGGATGGATCTCTGTGTCTTACAAATAAAAAGTGGCTATGGCCCCAGAAGTCCATAATTTCAGCAGGAAGTCCCAGGCTGCTGCTGGTGGCTGGTGCTGGGATGTTCCAGCTCCTGGGTAGGACTTTTCCAGTGGCAGCAGCTCAAACTGACACCCTGTGGGATAAAAGCTGGAATAGCTCATCCTCTCATGGTGAGGATGGACACCTGCCTACAACATCTGGAAGGGTTGTGGAGGAGACAGAGCAGGGTTGGTGTCCCATCCCATCCCATCCCATCCCATCCCATCCCATCCCATCCCAGCTCTGCAACGGGCAGGAGCTCCTCCAGCCTGGCTGGAGAGAGGGAAGGTGTCCCAGCAGCTGGAATGTCAGTGTGGAGATGAGGGGATTCCAGCCTAGCTGGTGGCCATGCAGGATAACAGCTCATGTTGTCTCAGTGCTTCCCACCGACTCCTCATCCCAGAAAGATCAGGAATGCCAGGAATGTTCAGGTTCATTCAATCACCACAGTTCAATTCATTCGCCGCTGTAACTGAATTCATAACGAGGATTTAAATCAGGAAACTGGGAGCTGCTTCCTAGAGATGCTCCTTTCCAGGAGCTTCAACGAATGCTCGGGAAGGATTCCCAACTCCAGCGAGCAGCCTGGGCTGGATGACTGGCTGGTTGTGTGCGTGGTCCTTTGGTTGGGTTTTGGTTGTGGTTGGTTGTTGGTTGTATCCTTTCTTCATTCATTTGTTTGTTGGCCAACGGTTGGTCGGTCATTGGTTGGGTTTTTGGTCATTGGTTGGATTTTTGGTCATTGGTCGGTCATTGGTTGGGTTTTTGGTCATTGGTCAGTCATTGGTTGGGTTTTTGGTCATTGGTTGGGTTTTGGTCATTGGTTGGTCGGTCCTTGGTTGGATTTTGGTCATTGGTTGGGTTTTTGGTCATTGGTTGGATTTTGGTCATTGGTTGGGTTTTGATCCTTGGTTGTTGGTTGGCTGGTTCATTTGTTCATCCTTGGTTGGTTGGTTGGTCTTTGGTTGGTTGGTTCTTATTGTTGCTTGGTTGTTGGTTGGGTTTTGGTTGTTTGCTGTCGATTGGTTGGTCATTGGCTAGTTGGTTATTGGCTGATTGGTTTTTGGTTGGTTGGTCACTGGCCATTGGTTGGTTGGCCATTGGTTGTTTGCCCATTGGTTGCCCATTGTTTGGTTGCCCATTGGTTGGTTGGTGGTTGGTTGGCCATTGGTTGGTTGGTCATTGGTTGCCCATTGGTTGGTTGGCCATTGGTTGGCCATTGGTTGGTTAGTCATTGGTTGGCCATTGGTTGGTTGGCCATTGGTTGCCCATTGGTTGGTTGGCCATTGGTTTGTTGCCCATTGGTTGCCCATTGGTTGGTTGGTGGTTGGTTGGCCATTGGTTGGTTGGCCATTGGTTGGTTAGTCATTGGTTGGCCATTAGTTGGTTGCCCATTGGTTGCCCATTGGTTGGTTGGCCATTGGTTGGTTGCCCATTGGTTGGCCATTGGTTGTTTGGCCATTGGTTGGTTGCCCATTGGTTGCCCATTGGTTGCTTGGTTGTTTCCCCAAAGCCAAGGCCGGTTTTGAACGCCCTGGCTGTTCCCAGTTTTCCAAAGATCCGGCTCCTGGGGCTCATTCCCAGTGTCCCGGACACTCCATGGAGAGGACTCCGTGTCCCATTTCAGGACGACACCGACATCAACATCGACTGCGCCGGGGACGACAGACACCCCACCAGGAGGGTGTGCAACGTCAGCTACCCCTTCTTCCGAGCCAAGGCCAAGGTAGGACATTCCCAACTTCCCACTGGGCTGCCACGTGGACCTTCTGCCCGCGGGGTCACATCTGGGCAACCCCGAGCAGGATTTTGAGGAGAAACTTTTGGGTTCTTCCCTTTTGGAGCTTGAAAGGCATCTCAGGGGAGCTGGGATGTTTGGGATCCTGCCCTGGTGCTCAGGAGAGCCCCAGAATCCAACCCAGCTTCTCCAGGTGACAGAATTTGCCTCAAATCCTCTGGAAAAATTTAATGTTTGCTTCAAACCACGGATGGGAATTTCCCTGGGCTGATTCCCTGCAGGATGAGGCTCCTTGCCCACCTGAGAGGTTTTCCTTGCTCTGAGGTTCCTCTGGATCCTGTTCCCAATCCTCCCTGGGTGGTGGCATCCTCCAAACCTGTATTCCCAATGTTTTGGATGAGCCCAGATCCAGCAAAACCTGGACCATAAACCCTTGGGAAACACCCAGTTCAGGAATAAGGTGGGGAAAGGAAAAGGGGCGAGCTGCAGCCACTCAGGATCCATGTGGAATTCCAGCCCCACCCCATGCTCCTGTGGGAAAAGGGACCGGCACAAGCGGGATCTGGAGAGAAATTCTGTATCCGTCTGAAACCTTTCCTGGATTATGATGGATTATCAAGGCCTGAGAGGTTCTCCTTGCTCTGAGGTTCCTCTGGAACCTGCTCAGAGCCAGTCCAAGCCCCGCTGGGTGGTGGCATCCTCCAAACCGGTGCTCCCAGTGTTTGGGATGAGCCCAGATCCAGTTTATCGTTTTTATAAGCCATAAACCCTCGGGAAGCATCAAATTCAGGGCTCAGTTGGGAAAGGATCAGTAGGGAGATCCCCTCAGGATTGGTATGGAATCCCACCTGCCCACCCATGGAAAAAGGGACCAAAATAAGCGGGATCTGGAGATAAAATCTCCCCAGCTCCTGTATCCGTCTGAAAGCTTTCCTGGATTATGATGGATGAGCCTCAGGCACCAGGCTGGGCTTTAAAGCTCCCAAAAATCCCGGTGGGATGCCTGTGGCTGCACGAGGAGCCGGCGGCCCATGACCTACGGCGTTGGGAATGCATCAGGTAGCGCCGCTCCTGCCAAAACAAAGAGAGGCTGGAAATGGAATTTTGGCTCCGGAGCCGCGGGAGCTTTAATATCCCGGTCAGCTGCGCCGGCCCAGACGTTTGAGGTCACGGCAGATGTGCCATTTATCACGCTGATCCCATTTTAGGTGTTGGCTCCCTGCAGCTGCCTCCCCTTCCCGCCCATCCCGGGACTCTGCAGGGATCTGCTTCCAAAGGGACAATCCGTGTTGCTCCCATCGCAGGGGCTGAGAGAATTCCTGCAAATCCTCTCTGCCTGGAGAGGCTCTGCTCGGTCCTGCTGGGATTGGGAATCGTGTCTCCCGCAGGGTCCGACACTGGCCCCCGCTCAGCACTCGGGATTTGATTCCCTGGGATGTTTTTCCCGGTGTTTTTCCCGGTGTTTTTCCCTCCTCCGCAGGTCGCTTTCCGCCTGGATTTCGAATTCAGCAAATCCGTCTTCCTGCAGAGCATGGAGGTCTACATGGTTGCCAGCAGGTCTGGGGATGCTTTCTCCCTCCGGAATCATGGAATCGTGGAATGGTTTGGGCTGGAAAAAAAGCCCATCCAGTCCCACCCCTTCCCTGATCCCAGGTTGTCCAACCTTGGAGAATTCCAGGGATCCAGGAAGCTTCTCTGGGCACCCCGGGATGTAGCCAGCTTTCCTTGGGATTCCTTCCTCCGGAGCCAGAGTTTTTCCATGGAATAACCCCACGGAGACCCGGTTGCTGTGGGTTATCCCAGCCCCGTGCTCCCAAACCTGGCTGTTTGTATTTATCTGGGAATTTACATCCATGATTTTTCCGTGCCTGTGGAAGCTGCCGGGCTCTGCTGGATCTCCAGCCGCTGCTGCTTTCTCATCCACTCTCCCACCACAAATATTTCCCGGGAAAAATATCTCCTAATAATTTTACAAAGTTCTCCTTACTCCCTCCTCTTCCAGTGGTAAAGATTTCCCACAGGGAAACGCAGGAAATCCTGCAAAAAATGGGAAAATCCTATGAGGAAAGGTGAAATCCTACAAAGAAAGGGGGAAATCTTGCAAAGAAAGGGGAAATCCTACAAAGAAAGGGGGAAATCTTGCAAAGAAAGGGGAAAATCCTGCAAAGAAAGGGAAAATTTAATTCAACTTATTACAATATAAATAAATAATTTAATTAATTGGCTACATAATTAATATAAATAGTATTTTAATAAATCCACCCATTATTACAGCAGAGGAGGATTCCCCTGCACCACTTTAAGCTGCTGGGCGTGTGACACCTCCCTCCGAATCATTTTAATCATTAAAAAACCCTCAGAATAAAATCCTGCTTTGACCAAAAAAAAAGTTCAGCATTCCCAGAAAAAATTCCCAGGGGGATTTGGCTCCTGCCTGAGCCCCTGGCCCTGCTGCGGTTGCAGTGACAGCGAGGAGAAGGAGAGCACCAAGGAGGACAACGTTGCCCACCTCAACTTCCAGCTCAAGTACGAGGCCGACCTGCTCTTCACCAGGTGAGGAGTTCGGGATGGGATGCGAGGTCACGGATTGGGAAAACCCCTCGGGAAAAGCAGCCTTCAAACCGAGGTTTCAGTTGGGAATTTATTGAAAAACCAGGAGCCGTAAAATCAGGGGAGAGCTTTTTATAAAGCTGGCGAGGTGCAGAGAGCTGGACTCTGCCGCTGTTTGACGGCATCAATTTTATTAAAGAGGTGTGAGGGTGAGTTTTTATGGAAAAAAAAGGGAATTCTTGGAGGTAAGAATGGCCTTAGCAGGTGTTCCTGGTGTCTGGGCCGGTGGCCATCCCACAAAACCATGGGAGGGAAGCTCAGCTGTGGGACGGGCGTGGAATCACCGGGAATTCAAGTCTGGGACAGCCAGGGATGAAGGCAGGGATAATTTAGGAAGCTGCTGATGGGAAAATCAGGGATCCCAAAGCACATTCCCTGGCAGTGCTTGCTGGAATTTTTCAGCCCTTCGGTCATTTTATATTTTTTACTCAGGCGCCACGAATAAAATTCCTTTAATATTTAGGATTTATGGGGAGTGAGGGGATTCTCCAGTTCGGAATGAAGAGAAAACCTGGAGGGAAAGAAGAGGACGGAAAATATGAAATTTGGGAATTTTGGAGTGAAAAAGGAGGGAGAGAAATGTGGGGATTTGGGGCCATCACAGGCGGGTTCCCACAGGATGTTCCTGGCTCTTTTCCCACCTTTCCAGCTGCAAAGCAGGGATGGATTCACCTCCTGTGACAGCCAAACCTCAGCCAGGCCTGGGGTGGCTCTGCTT